GTGTAACTCCAACATTGCACAGATGCCCCATGACCTGCCAGTCATGCTGGTGCAACCACCATTACAGGTATCCTAACTCAACCGTTAGTAACAGTTGCTGTAATACAAATATTTATAGGTGATTATCCAAATTTTTTACCGTCAATGGGATTTGAACACCCAACCTATCACTTGGGAGGGTGACAACCTGACCACTTCACTAGGTCACCACACCCCTTAAAACTATTTATTTTTAAACTATTTACTTATTAATTATATTTATTAAATATCAAGACTATTACATTAGGTTTCATCTAATCTTTCTATACTTAAAATTAATTAATAATAGTTTTATATAAAAATAAAGATGTAATATCACATTGGGTGTCTTAAAATAAGTAGCTCAATGTTGTTTAGAAATTTTTAATATAATTTTGTTTAATAATAAATTTGCTAAGTAGTAGAAGATTCTATAGATTATTAACCTATATCAAATCAATTTAGTAGTCAGTACAAGTACACTAGTAAAAATGCAAAATTACAGTTAACTAAAAATAGTAAAATTAAATATATTTAAACAGGAGTAACAGATTCTAAATTTTCTTACTAACCAAAGCAGTCTAAAATTCTATTAATCAAGGTGTTAAGAACCTTGCCTGTAACTGTTAACATATGTAAAATAATGCAACAATATGTATTATAAGAGGTAACTAGAAGATATCAACATCTGCATGTAAGAATATATTAAATGTAATGTATTTCAAATATATATCCGTAATAATAAAATAATAATAAATGAATATAATAACAAACTCTAACATAGTTAATAATAATTATAATAATAATATACACTGAGTGGTAATACTTTAAATAAAATTTGCTAATTGAAAAATCAAAGATATTCTAAATGACAAATTAAGTTAAAATTAATTGTGTTAACTTTGTCAATCAATAATGGTAAAATTTGTAATCAAAAGTATTTTAAAATCTATATTAAACCATTAGGGTAGAACTACTGTAGAATTGCTTTTGTCAGAAAGTGAACGGTTTTTAACTAGTCCTGGACCATACTTTTTAGGGGATTGATCATTTAACATCCCTAAACAATTTCAACGTAAACAGTAAATGAAACGCCCTAAATACAATACCCCTTCTCTAAATGTACCTTTAACACCAACCCAAACCTATACTAGTTTAGGGATTGGAACGCCTAAAATTTTTCTTAATCGTTAAACCGTTTAACCGTTTAATTTGGCAGCATTGAAATAATTCCGGCTCACGATCAACGGATGTAAAATCACCACCCGAAAAAGTTTCATGACCAATCAAATCTCAAGATCAGGTGTAACGCAAAACGATTAGTGTCAGGAAAATTCGAAACAAACGTTTGTTTTGTAAAAAAATCGCCTATTACTATAATCCAAAATTTAGTCTATTAAAGATTCCTTGTAAAATTTTGCTGTAAGAATGTTTTTAGATACCAATCTAATAGTAAAGTCCTAACCCTAACCTAAAAAAAAGCGAAACTTGAAGCTTATTTTGATGACGATTCTACCCTTGTAACATAATTCTGCCCGGAACTATGGAAAAAAATTTAAACGGCTAAAAGGTTCCAATCCTTATACAAAATTCTATAAATATAAATTTCTTATTCTTTAAATACAAGTAACCAAAAGGTGATCTCCTACGAGCTGCATTTAGAGTTCTATTTTTTTTGCAAGGTAATCAAATTTTCCTGCCATTTTGCAGGGATTGATGATTAAATTTTCCTTACAGTGTCTAAAGAAAGTTTTTTACTTACGTCATTTATATACGAATAAAATTTAGTTACTAGACATTATATCCAGTTTTGAACAATCATAACTGGACGTATCAATATGATAATAATATTAAATAGTTTAAAATTTACATATAGTGTTGATTAAAAATCCAAAATTTTTTTTAATTTCTCTTTTTCTATTAAACAAATGAATTTTATAGACTTAATATACAGTGATTGATTCTTAGATTCTTAATGTCGTTTTTCAATCTCGTTTATAACAATTCATCATTTAACACTTATCGACTACATTCTCTTTTTGAAAATTCCACCTTTTCCTTTTCTAATATACGTTAAAACTGTTAAATTATCATGAGCATTTTTTCTATTCTTTAATGCAGGTTAAACTTAATTGGAAGTAAAAACACACATCCGAGTAATTGCACGACACAATATCAATTTTTTCTCTTTGCTCTTTATAAGTTTGTCAAAAAATAACTGTTTTATTATATTGGTTCATCTTAGTTAAATTTTTTCGTAAGACTATCAGATAAAAACTTATATTGTAAAGAGTTATTTTTTTATGCATTAAGCAATAATTTTTCTATAAATTTAATAGTGTTTTTTTTTCAATAATTGTACGATCAGCAATTATGAACACAAGTGTTCACTTGTGAAATTCTAATAAAGAAATTCAGTTGCTTTTAGGGAAAACGTTGTTACAACATTCAAACATGCATGTATTAAATATGCTATATAAATTTTTGGTGTTAAACTAAAATATCTTTCTTTATCATGTTTTAACCATGAATCAAACTGGTGCAGAACTTTATGACAAGGGCGTGCAATACTGGTATGGTAATGGAGTTGAAAAAAACTTGCGTAAAGCCTTCGAATATTTTCAAAAATCTGCAGAGATGGGGCACACTGGTGGAACATGTTTTGTTGGATATTGTTATGAAAAAGGAATCGGAGTTGAATTGGATGAACATAAGGCATTCATTTATTATCAAAAATCTGCAGAGATGGGAAACGCTAGTGGGACATATAATGTTGGATGTTGTTATGAAAAAGGAATTGGAGTTGAAAAGGATGAACATAAGGCATTTATTTATTATCAAAAGTCTGCAGAGATGGGGCACGCTAATGGAACATATAATGTTGGATATTGTTATGATGAAGGAATTGGAGTTGAAAAAGATGAACATAGAGCATTTATTTATTATCAAAAATCTGCAGAGATGGGGCACGCTACTGGAACATATAATGTTGGATGTTGTTATGAAAATGGGACTGGTGTTGAAAAAGATGAAAAAAAAGCATTCAATTATATTCAAAAATCTGCTGATATGGTTTATGTTGATGGAATATGTAATCTTGGTTATTTTTACAGAAATGGAATTGGAGTTGAAAAGGATGAACATAAGGCATTTATTTATTATCAAAAATCTGCAGAGATGGGAAACGCTACTGCAACATATAATCTTGGATTTTGTTATCGAAATGGAACAGGAGTCGAAATAAACTTGAAAAGGGCTTTTGAGTTGTATCTGAAATCAGCTAAAATGGGTGACACCTCAGCAATGAAAGACGTTGGTTATTGTTATAGAAACGGAATCGGAACAAAAAAGGATTTAAAAGAAGCTGAATATTGGTTTAAAATGTAAGCCTTTTTTTCTTAAATTTTGTATAAAAAATATTAAGCAATATTAATAGTTTAAAAATAGTGAAAGAAGCAAGTTTAAAGGTAATTATCCTGCAGATTATTCTTTTTTTATTTTTATTTATTTTTTTATTTATTTTAATATTTAATACAGAAATAGAGAAATTCTCTTATTATGGTATCGATGATAATGTTAAAAAAATATTAGATGATGAGAAATATCAATTATTATGGATCCCATATGATAAACTCAAAAATATTAAAGTGATTGGAAAAGGAGGATTCGCAACCGTTTATCGTGCTAATTGCAGAATTGTTCATAAGGCTTTCAGTAAAAATTATTTATTTGCATTTAAGATAATTTGCGATCAAGGTTTTTTTGATGAGGTAAATTTATTAAGTTTGTTTAATGTTTAAAACTTGTAATTAATATTTTCACTTTTTAAAGTTGAAAGCGTTTTGCGAGATCGGGTATAAAAATCCATCATTCTTAAGGTGCTACGGGCTATCGAAAGATAATTCAGGAAATTACGTTCTTATTTTACATCATGCGGATAAAGGTTCTTTACGTGATAATCTTCGCGAAGTATCGCAAATGAAATGGGAAAAAAAATTAAATTTATTAAGTTGTATAACATCTGATCTCGAAGCTATTCATTCACAAGGATATATTCACAAAGATTTACATAGTGGTAACATCTTACAAGATGATTTAGATAATGCGTATATCGCGGACTTAGGTCTTACATCCCCTGCTAAAAACGACAACGAAATTATTGGAATTTTACCTTATATTGCACCAGAGGTATTATTAAGTCAACCATATACACAAGCAGCAGATATCTATTCATTTGGTATAATTATGTGGGAAATATTAACAGGAGAAAAGGTTTTCGATGGTTATGAATTTAATAATGATTTAGCAATAAAAATTTGTTTTGGATTGCGACCAGAATTCGCACCTGGGACACCCGAATGTTGCGTTGAATTAGCTAAGCAATGTATGGAATCAGAACCAAAAGAAAGACCTACTGCTATATATATTAATGCGATAATTACTGCTTGGATCGAAGAACTTGCGCTTGAAAGTAATAAAAGAACAATTAAAAAGCAATTCTTAGAAGATGATGAGCAATCCTTAGAGGGTGATAAGATTGATAAAAAATTACCAAGTATCGTACAACATCATCTAGATCAAAATAAGTCCATTTCAAAGTCCATTAACATACGAGAGATCACGAAAGCATCATCGAAAATGGATAGCGTGGAAATTCCGATGGAGTGAAGACATTAAAATCAATTAACAAACATGATTCATAGTATTGTGAAACCAAATTTTGAACGCTTAAAAAACAATAAAACTTATTAGTGTCATATCCTTTACAGAATCATGTGATAATAGTATAGAGTGGTGAATTTAAGGACGACCAAGCTGATAGGTTTTGTCGAGTTGATTTAACTAATACATTGGATTAAATAAACTCATATAAATATTTACTTATAAATAGCGTTGTGTGTTTTGATGTCACTCTCCAAATGTCTTTGCGTGTTAAAATTTATTTTTGTAAATTTATATAAAAACTACATGATTATATATTTTCTTTAGTTCTGATTTTTTTTTTAAACTAATGCGGCTCATCTGAGCAATTCAAGTGTTTTTATTTATTTATTTTACAGTGTCCAAAAAAAAAAGTTCAAAAATATGTTCAAAGCTATCATGACGACACTATTTATGACAATTCCTAATATCGATATTATATATTCGATTTTTGAAAAAAAATCAATCAAGTCGAATAAACGGTTCTATAATGATTTAGCATCACTGGTTAAGTCAGCAACCACTAATAAAACTTTATTGAAAAAAATTACAAACTTATCTATTCATACATCTAAAGTTTAATTATCCAAATAAAACATTCGTGAATCCAATTCCCAAAAATTTACGATTTAACGTCATCATACCTAATCAAAAATGTTCAGCCGTGGAATTAGAGGCATATGTTGTACTAGAATAATAAACAGTCATAACGGGCATAGTCATCGAAGATATAGTCAACTCTGGATATAACGAACCTTCCTATAACGAACTTAAAATTTTGAAATTTCATAATAGATCGGTATAAAAGTGTCATGGGTTCTTAAAAAAAAACGTAGTAATTGTTATAAGCGACATTTTTTTTCTTCCATAATTTTCAATCTGTTATAAAAAGATTTATAATTTCTTATATAAATGCAAAGATTAGAAAGATCGTGTTTTGACCACGAGAAAATTCAATATTATTAGTCAATTTGTTGTACCGAGTCTTTTATATACATATTATTCATAACAAACGAATTAACTATAACGAACAAAATTTTCTAGAACAGCCTGTTCGGTATAGAAAGAGGCAAACGTATTTCTGGATAACAGAATATTAAGTACATTAACATGGTATCCATATAAGTTTAATAATAATTTATTTAAAACGTATTTATAGTATTCTTGATATATTTTAATAAATGTTAAAATTTTATATGAAATATATGTGTATTTTTATTTAAATTAAATCTTTTATGTTAAAAAAGGTCAAGTTTAAGATTTGGACTTCAATTGAACCTGATAAGTCTGTAAGTTCAATTCAAATTCAAACTAATGAACTTATAAAGATGCTTGATACCGTTTGGTAAACTTATAAAGATGCCCAATACCATTTTGAGGGTTTTTGGGGTGCATAAAACATTTTAATTTTACTCGTTAATCCAGTTTTGAGCTAATACATACGGTAAAGCCAGCTCAGGTCCGGTATTGGTCTTAAACTTTTAGGTTCAATCGTACAGACCTTAAGGCCAAGTCCCCATGCAAAAAGTTCCAAGACCTAAGTTTGACAAGGTTTGATCCAAAATTAAATCTCTGAACTTAGTCATAACAAATCAAAATGATTTATTAATGCCAACGTTAAAGTGCTATATTGTTTTTAGAGACAATCAGAGCCACGGAAAATTAACCATGCGACAGGTCTTGGCATTATTGTGTAATTGGTGCATTTTAATAAGGTGATCGTAAATTATCGTTAAATGTCAATAATATCAATATCTAAAAGTAATAGAAAAGTAATAGGGACAAATAATGAAATTATTTCACGAAGGCAGGAGTAAAAAAAAAAAAAAAGAGAGATCGGAGTTCTTAAAGCCTAATTAATGTTGGGAGCAGGGCTAAAACGACATATAGTATACGGTGGCCATTTACTGCGCCACTGCCCATTGTTTGAAGTATCGTTTTTGATACATCAAAATTATTAGTACAGTAGTATATACGTACATACGTACTTAACTAACTGCTACGTAATATATTTTTTATTAATGCATTATGTGCATATTAAATTGTTTTTTGGCCCAATAAAATTTGTGAATCAAGAACGACATTTATTGAATGGCCGGCATTTACTATATGTCGTTTTAGCCCTGCTCTAGAACTCATTTGTAAAAACCAAACACATTGATTAACCGTAGAAACCAAATCATTGTTTTTTATTGGTCAATAATTGAGTATACATAACGATAATTGTTTAGTAATATCGATATGATATAGAACCATTATTAAAGATCATCTGATTACCATTAGTTTGTTGCAACAACAATGTACATACATATCTGATACATTATAACTGCACGCATAAAAAAATTTTTACTTTTTTTACATAAAACAATAGAGAATATCTTCGGTTAAAAATGATTAATCACTTGATATTTTCAAATCGATCAATTGCCGATTCTTATCACTAATGGAGATTCCTTTGTGATACGTTAATAACTAGGTTTGTGTAATTTATTGATCTCAATACTATTAGTGTTAGTAATTTTCGTGGTTTTTGAAATAGTTGAAAATTGGGAAAAAATTTTTTTTTCGTATACTGCGTATCCTCGTATACCGAATTACCTTAGCACATCGATGGAAGATTGATACTTGATTTACATAATCCTATATACGGGGATACGCAGTATACAAAAAAAAAATTTTTTTCCCAATTTTCAACTATTTCAAAAACCGTGATAATATAAATAAATCCCGATCCTTGAGTCGACTTCACTCGAACATTTTGAGATCAACTCCGAGCCTTTTTAGACAAAGCCAATTGTAGAAAGTGTCATTCCTGCATGTCGTTTGTTCAATTGTGCAATTGAGGAATTGGAAAGATATTCATGCAATATCTGTTATTGTTAGTAAATACGTTATATAAACGAGCTTAACTCAAGGACAATGTCCCTATTTATGGGATAAGATCGGACTTTTGAAAGCCCTAAATATAGCCGTCAATCAAAATGAGTCGTTCGTTGTGGGAGTGTAATTTACCACTTTGCCAATAAATTAGTTTAACAATTACCTTAATAAATTAGCTTATTAAATAATATATATATATTTTTAAATATAATGTCATTAACGACTCGTTTTAATTGACTACGCCCACACGTATTAGTGGATTTAATATATGTACATCAGCTTCAAAACTTTAATCCTTTATTTCTAAATGCGTGTAAAGCACATGAGTGTCTCTAAAAAATGCGCAGGGGTACTAAACCAATAAAAATTAGTAACATTAACAATTTATTAATAATCAGTTAATAACTTGAACAATATTGACTCCCAACCAGGGCTAAAACGACATATAGTAAATGCCGGCCATTCAATAAATGTCGTTCTTGATTCACAAATTTTATTGGGCCAAAAAACAATTTAATATGCACATAATGCATTAATAAAAAATATATTACGTAGCAGTTAGTTAAGTACGTATGTACGTATATACTACTGTACTAATAATTTTGATGTATCAAAAACGATACTTCAAACAATGGGCAGTGGCGCAGTAAATGGCCACCGTATACTATATGTCGTTTTAGCCCTGTTCTAGAGTCTTTATAATTGAATAATCCATGCTCTCGTAATTCAGAAGATTACTCAAAACGATATCTATAAAAACGGTGATCAGAAATGATAACACTAACAAATGTTGATAGAACTAAAATGCCATGACGCGAGACAATTAAACAACACTTTTCTTAAACACTGGTTACAGGGTAATTCATCTCCTGACCGTTCCAAGTGTCTTTTTTGAGACATTATAATAATGTAAATAATTTAAATCAAGTGCGATATTTTTGAATGGCTGTCCTGACTGGTTAGTGGTTCAGCAAAAGTAAAATTCATCCCAATTTAAAATAATGCACGCAATTGTTGCACTTTTAGGTCTATCTATGATGAAACCACATAAAGGGCGGAATAGCTGTAAGCTATATTTTATTTCCAATCAAATTTCAGATGCTCTTATTTATAAAAATATGAATCTTGAAAGTAATGCCACATAGTATTATTTTTGCATTTATTATCTTTAAAATTTTCCATAACAATACTGGTTTACTTATGAGATTAAATAATCTGATAACTATTACATATGTATATAAAGAAAATTTTATTTGAATGTTATCAAGAAAGAACAAGTCTAAATATAGAATAATCTTTATTTTATAGTAATCTATAATTAGACATCCTGGCCTTCATTTTGCGTCAATTATTTCATGAATTAGGATGTCCAGAGTATTGTTATAACTGAAGAATTCTGCTGCAATCATCGTTAATTTAGCAATTCCGCAATAATGTATACTTTAAAAACAAAATTACGATAAAAGGAAAATTCTAATTTTATCACAATAGACTATATCCACCAACAATTTATTCTGTTCGTAGAATTTTACCACCGCAATACCCTGGATACTCAATCACAATTTCTATTTTTAAAGTTCATAATTATCTCTTAAATCGATTATTGATTCAAACACACCTAAAACCAGAAAATTTGCATTCTGCATGGTCTCCTTACAAAAGCCCTTAAATGCACAACCTCTTAAAGTTGAAAAATAAAAATCAACACTTATTAAGTAGTTATTAATTCAAAACAATTAATATCAATTGTAAATGTTATTGCATTTAATTTTACGCACATAAAATGTTGGCAACTTTATAATATGTTGGTAAATATATTATATAGATAGTCATTACATTACAGTAATTTTAACCAAATTCAAACCCGAAAGTCAATTATATATGTAATTTTAATTGGTGAATTTTCTCATTGTCTAGATTTAACAATTATCCAAAATGAAATCGAAACAATTGTCTCTATGTATTTGAAAACTTATAAAAGAAATGTCCAATTCCATCAAATCTCTTCATTCGTTTCAAGGTTCAAAAAAACTTTCTTCTCTCAAAAATAATTGAAATTGTGATAAATTCAAATTCAACAACAACAATTTGTCTTAATCTTCGTTACCTACTTACATCATCAACCATGCATTCCAAAAAGTCGGCTTCTTTTGTCTTGATCGCATTGGGCCTTATTCTTGTTGGACTTATTCTCTCGGCATCTGCAGGTCCTGTGCTTAGAAGAAATCCTTCTGCAATCCATCCGTCAAAACGTTTTTATCGTGGTGGTTATTATCATAACCCATATTATTATAATTCTTACCGACCTTCTTATTACCACGATCATCGCAACGAATACGATGACAGTGAATACTCTCGCAATCGACATTATTTGAATGATGATGTGACATCATCATCATATTATTGATTTTCTTGTGCAAAAATAGAAGTGTAATAATATTTTGATTTATTAGAAGTAAACTAGAAATTTTTTTTTATGATCTATCTACATATATATATGGTTTACACGACGTGTATTGCGTCATCCACTTCTATTACAAAATATTACTTTTAATTTGTTTAATAATATTTGTTATTTAGTTAAACAAAAAGAATTTAATGTGCAAAACATAATTGATTTTAGATTTAATAAAATTATAATAATACTGTTCGTTAATAATAAATAATAATTAAGTGAATCTCAAGTCTGCTAAAAGTTTAATCCCATCAGTCCGGACTCCATAAATGAAGTGTGGACTAGGAAAACCTCTACTCGAAACCAACTTGAAAACGGTGGTATTCCTAGTCCATTCCTCAAATAGGGACTCAGACACGAACTTGTATTCCCCTAAAATAAAGTTACATCGCTGCTGCTTAACGTATTTATTAATAATCAATTTTAATTAACTTGATTTTTTTTTTATCTTTCTAATTGTTGATACGTAATATGTTATTTAAATGAAATACTAAAATATTGTAAAAGTTATCGTTCACTTAAAAAATTTGAAAATTTTTAGTAGTTGTGATATATGTGTTGTAATTAAAGTAGATTTACAATTTAAGTCGCTTTAAAGATAGAGTTTATCCATTAACTAAAATTAAAAGCATCACATGAAGTTTTTAACATCTATGATTAATTAATTACTCCCACATTTACAACACATATTTTCTACTTGTGAAGATCATTACATAATAGACAATTCTCGAATGCTTATAAGCGTTGAAAGAATACAACCAAATCTTTCAAAATATTCTGAAAGAAAAAATGGTCGATAAAGAAAATTATCTTGTTTCCTTTTAACTTCAGCCCTAATCTATACAAGACCTTATATACTAGACATTACACCCAGTTTTGAACAATTATACTGGACGTAACAGTGTGTTAATATTACATATTTATATTGTGTTGATTAAAATTCAACAATTTTTAATTTCTCTTTTCTTTTAAAACAAATGGATTTTATAGACATTTTTATATATAGAGATTGATAGAGATTGATTCTTAGGTTTTTAATGTCGTTTTTTTCAATCTCATTTATAACAACTCATCATCTTAACTCTTATCTACTACATTCTCTTTTTCTAATAAATTGCTTCTTTTTGAAAATTCTACTTTTTTCTTTTCTAATATCCTTTTATAATCAGAAATTATATGTCAAAACTGTTCAATTACCTTGCCTATTTCGATATTTTCTAATATCGTTTAAACTTATTAATTGGAAATAAAAACACGCATTAAAGTAATTGTACGACACAGTATCAATTTATACTCTTTGCTCTTTATAAGTTTTTCAAAAATGACTGTTTTATTATATTGTTTCATCCGAATTAATTTTTTTCATAAGGTTCTCAGATAATAATATGTTTAAAATTATACATATTGTAAAGAGTTACTTTTTATCCATAAAGCAATAATTTTTCTATAAATTTAATGAAGTATCTTTTTTCAATAATTGTAACGATCAGCAATTATGAACACAAGCGTTCACTTGTGAAATTCTAATAAATAAATAAAGTTGCTTTTATGGAAAACGTTGTTAAACATTCAATATGCATGTAATTATATAAAGCTATATTAACTTTTGACGTTAAACTAAACTATCTTTCTTTATCTCATGTTTTAACCATGAATCAAACTGGTGCAGAACTTTATGACAAGGGCGAGCAATACTGGTATGGTAATGGAGTTGAAAAGGACTTGCGTAAAGCCTTCGAATACTATAAAAAATCTGCAGAGATGGGGTACGCTAATGGAGCATTTGATGTTGGATATTGTTATGAAAACGGAATTGGGGTTGAAAAGGATGAACATAAGGCATTTGTTTATTATCAAAAATCTGCAGAGATGGGGAGCACTAAGGGAACATTTAATGTTGGATGTTGTTATGAAAATGGAACTGGTGTTGAAAAGGATGAACATAAGGCATTTATTTATTATCAAAAATCTGCAGAGATGGGGAGCACTAAGGGAACATTTAATGTTGGATGTTGTTATGAAAATGGAACT